TTCTACACAACTCAATGGCTAAAACGTTATACATATTATTCAAATATTTAAAAATGTCAAACTATAATATAAGTAGGTATAACATCAAAGAATAAAACACTCTTCGTTAATATCTTAACTACTAGTTTTTATGCCTGCGTAATTTATTGAAAATTTAAAAATAAAATCATAAGCTATAATATAGTTCATAGTTAGTTAATATATAGGTAGTAAACAAAATATAAATTTATAAAAATACCGTGTACTTATAATATTCAATGTATTAAAATAAACAATACTCAAACTTTATTTAAAACTGAATAAACTAAATACTTAACAATAAAAGAATATGAATATTGTTATGTTTTTAGATGATTTGTATACAATCTCAAGAAATTGGAACGTTTTAATGGAAAATGTATCTAAGCTGTCTAGCTTGAAGTGTATTTGGAACTCTTCTCAGTTATTTTCTTAAATAAAAACTTCTTACGTTATGCAAAAATTATTAGACTGAAGTACCACCTGCGTCCATCATTTTCAATCGATTTATGAAAGTTTTGGAGATATTGTAGTTCTTCATAATGTTTTTATAAGAAATATAATCATAATCGTAATCGACAATTTTATGTACTAACAGAACTTGAGTAGGAATTAGTTATAATTTATTTGTGGTTGAAAATAAAATGATAATAACTAACAATAATATTTTAAATTGAAATTTGGATTCTAGCAGTAGGTACTTAATATTAGAATCTATTTCAAATTCAATCTGTGGCCCAACAGTTGTGTTGAAATACAATTCTGAAATATTTATTAATGATAATATTTATTAGGTTTATTGATTCTAAATGAAATTGATAAAATAGTGATAGTAATGATTTTATTTACAAAATGATGTTTCGTTTGCTCCAATAATAAATGTCCAAAATACTCGAACTTCATATTTCTGTTTACTCTATTCACAAACATAATTTTATGTCATGTTGTAAATAATATGAGAATACTAAAAATTTTATTTAGGATAAAGTTATATTTATCAAAACCTACGGGCTACTAGGCGATAGGCGTATTCCATAATAATATTTGTTTTCTTCTAATAATATAATAATATGATTATTCACATACTTCCCCGAATATGCTTATAAATAGCATACCTCTATGCATTTTTTTATAATTTTAAAATTTTGAATATGTAAAAAAACTCTTTATTTATAATATTAATATATAATTACAGGTCACTGGTATTACCGGTCACTCTACGTCATTTCCACTTTAGAATCCGAACTGTTTTAACTCTGCGGTTTTTACGTTACCACTGTAACAGCTGTTTTTGAATTGACTGAGCCATTTTATGCTGTAACTATTCTAAGTCTTGTTTCCACCGTACACTTTCGCTTAAATCCTTTGCTGTGTCTGGTTGGTTAGTATAAGTTACCGCAAGATTGACCTCGTTACCGTGTTGTTGGACATAACCTTGATTTCTCGGGAAAAAATTCAGCGCTGTGTACGGCTGAATCTTGTGGCTATACCTAGCGGTTAACCACAATGTTTATTAGTAAATACCATGTTATATTGTAAAAGCGGGTTTTCATTATACCTACTCACCAGAAATAATTTATACTCTTCCACATTATATTGACTTAACTACGGTTTTTAATTTCCAAAGCAATAGAAACTATTCATTAAAAGTGTATGATACTGCGTGTGCCGTATACATATACGAAATGTGTTCAGCTATGTCCAACAACACGGTAACGTGGTTAATCGTGTGGTAGCCTAACCTAATTGACCAATCACAGCAAAGGATTCAAGGGAAACCAATCCTGCTCAAGTAAAATGTTTACTATTATGTGGTTACTGGTTATAAAAATAATTATCAAAAAACAATTTTAAAGGTGGGTTCACACTGCACTGTATCGTGCCGTGTCGTGAACTTTTTTCATTTTTCAAAACATGATACCACTCTATACCATAAATGAGTTCTTCATTCAATTGATATCAAAATAATATTTGAATTCAAGTATTATCTTATTTATCACTATTAAATCAGTAACCATAAGTTCAAAAGTTGGATGAAATCAACTTCGTGTTGTATGTGGGAACATCGTGGTATTCGTAGTAGAATCCGCAAAATTGGTGGTAGAAACCAGATTTAACCACGTGGTTGGACCAATCTGAGTACGGCAACATTTCACGACACGACACAACACGGTGCAGTGTGAATCCACCTTTACTGATAGGTGGTTGTGTCATTGTGATAACAAGGAACCAGTACCATTTGCCATTCAGCTCACAACTTCACCAGAAAAATGAAATGTATATAATTTTAAGGAATCACTTAAAATTTTTTTACGAAAATCACGATGGTTAACGGGGCAGTGTGAAGTCGCCTACAATATATAGGTCTATGTTCGCAGATCTACTGATACTGCAGTGTAGGTCAGGGACGTAGCCAGGATTTTATTTTTATTTTTTTTTGGGGGGTACTAATTAGTACTGTGTCATTTCTTAGGAAGGGCGAGTCAAAAAAATTTATAGTTTATACGAGGGTCTATCGTCTATGTATATATATATATCTACCACATACCTGGCTATATGGTAACATATACGAGTACCTATATATATATATATGTATGTGTGTGCTAACCGTATCATTTTGTAATTTTTTCCATAACACAATATAATTAATTATTAGGTTTACGAGCACAAAAAAAACATCATTGTAAAAACACTAGCATTTTCGTTTCCCTCAGGTTCTAAAAAAATTTCGTCGATGACATTTCGGTAGGGTGGGGGGG